TTCTTGGGCCTGCCCCGGTTCTGTGAGGAGCCTGCAGCACTTCAAAGTGCTTCAAAGGCAGCACTTCAAAGGCCCCCACTCCTGTGCCCTGATTGGCCTGGGGGCGGGGGAGCATGCCAAGCCTCTTCCAGGGCATGGATGCCTAGTGGGAAGGGGGGGCAAAGGGGCTGCCCCACCCCCAGACCAATCATGATTGGGGTGTGGGGTGGCCCCGCCCCTTCCTGTTTAGACCCCGCCCCTTCCACGGTGTCCTGGGCAAAAATTATTGCCACCCTGGCCTACAAGAAACCATCATTTATTTGTGTCTTCGATCAAGAAGCCAGGCCCAAGAATCCCATGGGCCACCCATGTCTCATAGACTCATAGACTAAGGTCAGAAGGGACCATTATGATCATCTAGTCTGACCCCCTGCACAGTGCAGGCCACAGAATCTCAACCACCCCTCTTAGAATAATCCTCTCACCTAGGTCTCAGATATTGAAGCATTCAAATACTTTGAAGGACCCAACATGCAGAGAGTCCTTCAGCTGTGATCTGTGCCCAATGCTACAGAGGAAGGCGAAAAACCTCCAGGGCCTCTGCCAATCTACCCTGGAGGAAAATTCCTTCCCGACCTCAAATATGGCGATCAGCTAAACCCTGAGCATGTGGGCAAGACTCACCAGCCAGACACCCAGAAAGTTCCCTATAGCAACTCCTATCATCCCTCCATTGACCTATTTCCAACTGATAATGAATGGTCAATTAGTTACCAAGATCCTGTTATTTCATCCAACCATCCCCTTATCATAGAATCATAGAACTGGAAGAGACCCCAGAAGGTCGTCAAGTCCAGCCCCCGCTCTAGGCAGGACCAATCCCATCTAAATCAACCCGGCCAGGGCTTTGTCAAGCCGAGACTTAAACACCTCTAGGGATGGAGACTCCACTACTTCCCTAGGTAACCCATTCCAATGCATGTCCTTACTGTGGAGCGGCCAGGCCCAAGGACCTCACAGGACATCCGAGCGCGGTGAGGACCCGAGGACAGCAGTGCGCATCGGAGAGCCCATGTGATCATCATTTGACCATGTGCACAATCTCCTGACAGCAGCGTCCGATGCTGGCATCTGGAGAGGGTAGAACTTGGTTTGTGGATGGACTTGGACGAGTTCCACTTCCTGCATCCTCCCAATCTGACCTTGGGATTCATCTAATATAAAGAGCTAAGCAAAAAAATACAAACCCAACTGACTTCAGAAATTGTTTCTGAAAAACTTCCCGGAGGCCAAAAGTTTCCACGTAAAATGGGCAACGAGGGCATCAGTTGTGGGTGTTTGTTTTTAGCTTCGCACGTCTCCATTAACCACTTGCAAAGAGTACAAAAAATAACATGACAGTGTCGACCTTCATCTGACAATATTTGCGTTTTGCAGGGGGGAGCCTGTGTGAATAATAGCCGATGCAGAACCATGGAAGCACAGAAATGCCAGGCTAACCGGAACCTTGAGAGGTTATCTATTCCAGCCCCCTGCACTGAGGCAGACCCGTGTAAACATCAATAATCCTTGACAGGTGTTTGTCCAACCTGTTCTTTAAAACCCCCCAACGAGGGGAATTCCACAACCTCCCTTGAAAAACTATCCCAGCTTTTAACCCGCCTCGGAGTCAGTTTTTCCTAATCGTTAACCTAAGTCTTCCTTGCTGCACATTAAGCCATTTACTTCTCCTACCTTCAGTGAACATGGAGAACAATTGCTCGTCTTCTTTATAACAGTCTGTGACGTATCTGAAGATTGTCATCAAGTCCCCCTTCACTCATTTTTAATCAAAACTCAACTTTTTAAAACTTTCCTTACAAGTCAGGTTTACTAAACTTTTTGCATTTTATTGCTTGCATCTGGTCTTTCTCCACATTTCTAGAAAGAGGTGGAGAAACGGGATCGTCCGGAAAAGAGCAACAAAAATGATTAAAGGTCTAAGAAAACATGAGGGAAGACTGAAAGAATTGGGCTTGTTTAGTTTAGAAAAGAGAAGACTGAGAGGGGACATATTGGACATTTTGTGTTTTGCCCGATGTCTTTTCCAAAAGATGTCTGGGAAGTTCAAGTCCCTCATCCCTACCACATCTTGTGTTTTTGTTATTTCTATTATCCATTCTAGAAATACCCCATCCACCTCCTCCTCCTGCCTGGGTGGTCTATAGTAGACTCCCTACCACGATGTCATCCTGGTAGATATTGACAAGTGTTTGTCTGGAGAGACTTGTATTGGCTAAGATTTAATGTCACTATTAACGAGATTTACAAATTAAAGAGAAGTAACACTCCCTGGTACCCCTGACTGAGTATATCCAAACAGGGTGTTTTTAGCTTGGCTGTTCTTTCACAGCTGTGTTCACAGGGGAGAAATGGTTTGTAGAGATTGAAAACTTAAAGTGAACTCCAGCTGATTTACAGAAATTCAGACAAACTATGTTTACGACGGTAACGTGTGCGACTGTAAAAAGACACCCATCCTATAGAAACAATGATACTGACACTATAGAGTCAGTTTCAGTGCAGCACAGTGATTAAGACATATGCTTATTGACATCACTAGCTCCCTAATGGCACGATCCTTCCACTAACAAACCAGTGTGATAAGGAAGTGCCTGACCACCAAACAATGCCACTACACCCAGATTTACTGCAAGTAAGCAGGTGTGCAAACCATGCCTCGCACACGAGCCACACAGCAGAGTGGCTGCAGGGTAGTTCCTCTATCAGGGTCGAGAGTCTGAGCAAGTTCTGGACTCCCAACCTTCCAAATTTAAAAAAAAACCCAGCTTGGAACTGTTCTCAGTGCGCGGCACCAGGGGAACATCAGGACAGGGCAACCAAGCGCAAGGAGCCCAGCTGAGCTCATGGGCATGTTCATCTGCATGGTCGTGACTCCTTGGTGCTGCTTCCAGGCGGCACAGAGGGAGCATGCTGTTGCCAGTGTGCCCTGTAAGCTGAGCGCTTGGGCGGGCACCCAGGAGAGATTCTAATGCTGCCCAGCTGATTAGAAGAGTGCTCACAGCTGGCATATGTGTTTCTACAGGCGGTGCACATCTGCACATGCCAAGGTGCAAATAACTAAATTTATTCCGCACATGGATGGAAAAAATTAGCGGGAACACTAGCTGTTACCTCCTCGGAGCGTGTAACACTCATTTTGCACAGGGTTGCACAGCTGTACAAGATGCTGGGGAAAGCCGGCCTGACCTGTGAAATGCCAGTGGGAGCCAAGAAGGGACCGCCCCCATGATGGGGTAGGGATGGAGTTACAATCCCCTAAGAAACGTCCACCATTGGCCACTGTGGGGAACACAATCCTGAACTGCACAGCTTGCTCCAGTGTCCTCCTATTAGAATCCCAGAAGATGCGGCTTTCAACATCCCCTCTTGATTTAAAAACGGTCCGCGATGGAGAATCCATCAACTGTTCTAACGGTTAATTACGTTCACGGTTAAAAATGTATGTTGCATTTCTAGTCTCAGTTTGGCTAGCTCCCACTTAGACATTACATCTGCTATACCTGTCTCTAGGCCTCTTAAACACCTGTTCCCTAGGTAGGCACGTGTAGACTATCACGTGCTCCCTCAAACTTCACTCTGAAAACACACTGAGCCCTGAGAATGTTTCTAAGAGGCAAGTTTTTTAACCCTTCAATCATTTTTGTGGCTCTTCTCTGAACCCTCTCCAACACCCTTCTCGAACTGTGGACACCAGAAGTGGACACCGCCTGCCAGCAACGGGTGCAGCAGTGCCCGACACAGAGGTGAAATCACCTCCCTGAGATTCCCGTTTGCACAGCCCATGACTGCGTTAGCCCTTTCGGCCCCCAGCACAGCCCTGGGAGTTCACGGTTAGCTCATTATCCACTATGACCCCCGAATCTTTGTCAGAGTCACTGTCCTCAGGATAGAGTCCCCGATCCTGCAGGTGTAGCCTGTGGGCTCTGTTCCCAGATGTATACACGGACGTGTACACCATTGCGTCTTCGCTGTGGGGTGAAAACGTTCTAGATGTGACCGTGCATAGATCCAAAGAGCGCCAGTAGCAACAGCCAGAAAACAACAGCACAAGCACCAAGCGAGGCCACTCGTTTGTACCTACTGCCTAGGCTCCCTTCCAGAGGAAGATGATCCCCTCTGACTCCTGGTCTACCAAACCGCCTCATCTTCCCACAGGCGTGAGGGGGGCGCGCTCCAGTCACACCGAGCATTGCTCTGCACAGACACCGGCCTAGCGCAGCCATTTCTCCCCTGTCCGGTTGTCTACGTCACCGAGTGCCACACAACCCGGCTCCTTGGCCATCTCTCCCCGCTGTCTGAATTCAGAAGAGCATAAAAGCAAACACTTACATGACTCCCTGGTAATGAACTGAGGTACAGCGCTGGGGAGAGGCGTGCTCGGGTTCGGGGTTCCCACTAGCTTGCTCTTGGCCATCTTGGTGTTTGCCTTGGCGAACTCTAGTCGTAGCGTTTGTGGGATTTCGGGGTCAAAGCGAATTCCCTTGATCAAAGCAAGAAAACAAGAGAGCGTGTCAATTATCCGTACAGCCAACAGGGAAAACTGCTGAATAGAATCAGCTGGGGGGAGGGGGATTCCCGACACAGGAGGGAGAAGCCACTGGGGGTGGGGACACGAGCACCTCAAAGCAAAACACAAATCACTAGGTTCTCCGAGCCGGCAGTGAGATCTGCCCTGGCAGGACCAGCACCTCCGTAGGGATTCAGGATCCAGGTGCCTGGATCTGACTGCAGGATACGGGCTTTCCCCCACTTTGCAGAAAGGAAAACACACCCACATTCCAGTTTTAAAGCTGAAGCTGATGACTGGTTTGCAAATTCGTATCTTTACTGACTCGGCTGACACAACTGTCACCGGGAAGGGCTCGGTTTTCCTTCCTTTGCTACAAAGAGCAGCACCGGCCCTCCTCCGGCTCACAGAACAGCTGTGACAAGCTCACAAGGCAGAGAACGCTGCACACACACACCAGCCTTTGTAGGCTGGCACCTTCCAGCCAAGGGGTGTCCAAACGCAGCAGCATTCAGTTACATGGGCAGTGTCAAGGACCCAAGGCCGGGACTGGTTCTCAGGACTCCGGTGATCAGTAACCGCACTGCACAGCGGTAGCGGAGCTGGCCAGAGGCTTGTGAAAGCAACGGCAAGTTGGCCACACGCAGAAGACAGAAACCCTAAAACCAGAGGAATGGAGAGCAGCTGAAAGGCTCCGAGTTTGCCCCGAGGGAAGGGCTGTTTGCAGAGTTATTTTGAGAAGTCCGGGGATCAGGAGAAACAGTCACGATTAACTCAGGCTGGGCTCCCACACCGCAGAATCAAACCCACGCGGGATGCAAAAAGGCAAGGAGGAGAGAGGGGGGGAATAAAGGGAAACAGTTACACGTCTTACGGCCAGGGCAGAGGGCTCCGGGAGTGGGAAAAGGCAGGGTGGACAGACCCTTCCCACTGAAAGCAGTGAAGGGCACAGCCCCAAGCTGGACTCAGAACCACTCTGAAGTCGCTAAGACCCAGGTCTGGACTTGGGAGCTCAGGGCACCTCTAGCTGACATGTTCTTTAGCTACAGCAAGCAAGGGAGGTTTAGGTTGGACATTAGGAACAAATTATTTCTGTCCGGGTGGTTACACACTGGAATAAGTTGCCTAGGGAAGTTGTGGAATCTCCATCCCTGGAGATAGTTAAGAGCAGGTTGGACAGACACCGGTCAGGGATGATCTAGACAGAGCTTGGTCCTGCCGTGAGGGCAGGGGACTGGACTCGACAACCTCTCGAGGTCCCTTCCAGTCCTGGTGTTCTAGTCGTCTATGCTGATGCTCAGCTTCAAAAGAGGTGGATTGCGCAGGACCCAAGGGATGAGAAGGTCTCTGAACCCCCAGCTAAGCAGAAGGGAGCATCGTATGGGAACAGGCTTGCTTGTGAGGTGTCTCCAGAACTCCCAGCTGAGGCATGGCCCACAAATACCCAGCCCCAGAACCGCCTCCCCTCTGGAACTGTGGCCCTGTCACCGCTAGGCGCTCCCGGGAGGGCAAGGCGTGGGAGCAGGGTCAGGAGACGGGAGCGCCTCCTACAGGACGCACAGGGCGTTGGGGACATTTTGCTCCTCATGTCTCCGTACCTCACTTCCCATCTGTAAAATGGGGAGAATGTGCCTTCCTTCCCCACCCCGTCTGGCTCATCTAGCTCCTTGGGAAGTTCCTTGCTCTGGAACCCTTGCACAATGGGGCCCTGACCAGTGACCTAGAGCCATGACTCCCGCGGCTCGCTGGCGATCTGTAACGGGAGCGCCGATCCTCTCTCCTGCATGCTCAGCAGACCTGCGTCCACCCCCCCGACCTCTCAGACCCCTCGCGGAACTGGGTCTCCTGCCCCCTCTGTAGAGAGGCCAAGGAGCGGGGAGGCAGGGAGAAGGAACAGGAGGGAGTGGGAAGATGCCCATCACTGGCCTGCCCTGCATAAATAAAGCTGTGTCACTTCCAGAGCTACGGTTCTGGCGTCGCCCGCAAGCCCGGCAATTCTTTATTCGGAGGCCGGTGTGCGTCCGCGGGACATGACAGTGTTTATTTGTACCGGTCCTGCTGTCAGAGAGGAGTGAAAACCACGCCCAGCAGGAGAGGGGGCCCCGGTCTCTCCAATCCGTAACTCGCAGGACCAGTGGGGCCGTCTCAAAGTCCCGTCTTCTCAGGCAGTCAGACCGACCGAGGAAGGAGGGGCTTTCCCACGCAGACCCACCCCTCCTTTTTCAAGTGCCCTCCGCAGTCCGTGCACCTTCGGCAGAGTGAGAAACTTCCAAGGCCAAGTCGCAAAGCCAAGCGAGTGTCGAGAGAGAGAGAGAGAGAGAGAGAGAGAGAGAGAGAGAGTGTGTGTGTGTGTGTGTGTGTGTGTGTGTGTGTGGAGTAGGCTTCGCTACTACTGTTGTGTCCCAGGGGTTAAAGGCCAGGGAGAGCCAAAGGAGCAAGACGGATGCAGCGATAGCGCAGGGCGCGCGACAGCAACTTTTGCTGGAACTAAACTCCCAGGCATAACCGCTCGGGCATGGCAGCATTCGGCGACGCTGACCCGGGCATGCACTGAGTGTCACGGTGGTCTCCTCCCTCCTGCGCAGCTCCTCAGCTTCTCGGCTACGTGGCCAGACGCTCCAGGCCCTAACCAAGTCCACATGAAATGAAAATTTACCGTCCCCCCTCATCTATCCTACATGGGGGAATGGCTGCTGCAAACTCCCATCTTGCTGCTACAGACTCGCCGGGCCTCGGGCCAAGGCAGGGGAGCCGCCTCGTGCCCCATGTAAGATGGAAGGGGCAGGGCTGGGGCTAGCCCCCCCTAGACAGTCCTCTGCACTGCGGGGGGCTCTAGCAGGGATTTCAAGAGCCCGGGACCCTTTTGAATTGCCAGGCCCTGGAGCTACTGCCCTCTTTGTCCTGCTCCCCGCCCCTCTACCGGTGGGCCCGAACTCCAGGTATTATCCACAGCCATTTTCATCGAAACGTGAGCAGGATATAAAGAGCCTCGCTCCCAAGAAGTCCGATAAGTATTTGCGCGTGTAAATCCACTTGTGCGTGTGAACGGGTCAGCTGTGCACCTGGCTGGCCGCATCCACGCACACACAAACGTGCCACAACAGGGCACATCCACGGGGCTTGTGCAGAGTCTGCGTGTGCTCAATGGAAGTCAATCCAGATCTTACTCAAGCTGGGACCGATGGCCACACGGGGGGAAGTGCCAAACTCAATTCCCCAGCCCACTACGTCGTTGAGCAAAACAAACCCCCGATTTCTTCCTTCCAAATTAAAGTCCCGACGTCCTTTAAAGCCTCCGAAGTTTAAATGACCTAATTTGTTTGGCAGCAAATTCTGAGTCGACAGGCTTAGAACAAGTCACATTCCTCTAACATCTCTCGCATCAGCACCATATTTGGGTCCTGTTCCACAGAGCCCTTATCCTTGGGGATTAGCCAAGCCAAAAATACTTTACATTTAAAAAAGACGACCAGGAAAAACAGAGAAAGAAACTAGAGACGGGCTGTTTGCCATTATCCCTGCGTGATGTGATTACCCCGGGCACACAATGATTTCACCCAAAATGGCATCAGGAGATGAACTCTTACGGATAGCGGGGAGCTGGGCTCGTTGAAATCCATTTTTTTCCATGTGAAAAAACAGGCTAAAAAACAAGTCAATCGCTAACTGGGAAGTTAGAAAATGGCTTCCTTCAGGGCAAGGTTGCTGCTTTTTGGGGTCCGAGGGGAGTCAACAGGGTGCCCTTATAGCCAAGAAGGCTAATGGCATATTAGGGTGCATTAGGAGGAGCATTGCCAGCAGATCTAGAGAAGTGATTATCCCCCTTTATTCGGCGCTGGTGAGGCCACATCTGGAGTATTGTGTCCATTTTTGGGGCCCCCACTACAGAAAGGATGTGGATGCATTGGAGAGGGTCCAGCGGAGGGAAACCAAAACGATTCGGGGGCTGGAGGGCATGACCTATGAGGAGCAGCTGAGGGACTTGGACTTGGGTCTGTTTAGTCTGCAGAAGAGAAGAGTGAGGGGGATTTGATAGCAGCCTTCAACTTCCTGAAGGGAGGTTCCAAAGAGGATGGAGAGAGGCTGTTCTCAGTGGTGACAGATGGCAGAACAAGGAGCAATGGGCTCAAGTTGTGGTGGGAGAGATCCAGGTTGGATATTAGGAAAAACTATTTCCCTAGGAGGGTGGTGAAGCACTGGGATGGGTTCCCTAGGAAAGTAGTGGAGTCTCCATCCCTAGAGGTGTTTAAGTCTCGGCTTGACAAAGCCCTGGCTGGGTTGATTTAGTTGGGTTGGTCCTGCCTAGGGCAGGGGGCTGGACTTGACCTTCTGAGGTCTCTTCCAGCTCTATGGTTCTATGATTCTGTAACTAGGGACAACGATCAGGTCTAGATTTGTTGCCCAGCACAAAGCCAAGCAAAACGCCCCCGTTTTAAATTTTCATGGCAAGGTTCAAGGGAGGAGTCGCTTCAGGGTTTGGCTGGGATGCCCATCCAGATGCAACTCATCTGTTTCAACTGGGTTGGCTTTGAGTTTTGGAGCCTCATTGTTCCCAAGCTGGAATTTCAAGGGCTAAGCTCTCCGGCACGAATCAAAGCAGAGGCAAGGGCTGACTCTGCAAGGGGGGTGCTGGGTTTTCACTCCACGGGGGGGGGGGAGGGGAGGGGTGTCCAACAATCAGGGTCACAGACAGCCCAGGCCACCACTTGTGACCCCACCTGGCACTGGGTGGAGCCAGCACACAGCCCCCAGTCCAGGGCTGCCTCAACTGGGGCAAAAGAGGAGGAAACTCGCAGGCCTGCTAGTGCGTGAGGGAAGGTGCAGGGGAGCAGAGCTGGAGAAAGGCGGAGCTGCGCAGAATTGCATTTCCTCGCATCTGGGCTGAATCCTGGCCCGCTTCCAGAGGGACTCCGTCCACACGCCCATGCCCCGCTCCCTGCTGGGGAAAAGGCCGATACACTGAGACAGGCACC